TAGCGTCAAATATAAAATATGATAAGCATTATATATACCAAAGTAAGAAAATGAAGGATTTGTCTCATATATTACTATGAAATTTAAGAATAGAGAATCACAGTTAATGCCTAGTTGTAATAAACTTGTATTTACCATCTCTTGTTTTGCTACATTTTAAGGATCCATTCATCTTAACCTCTCAATTATTGAATACAATCATTTATGAATCAGTAGCAAGCAGGTACTAATATATAAGATTCAACAGTTGCGACAACAAAATATCATTTTCAAAATTTGAACAACGGCCGACATCATTATAAGAATTCAGGTAGTTTTAATAACTGATATGCATTACAAATTACATAAATATTTCGTAGTTTCTCATTGCCTACAACAGTGTATATAATACAATGGCAACAGCGCAGTAAGTGAGACTACACTGAATCCAAAACGTGCGATAGAAAAATGGAATCGCTTTGCCTTACCATTATTGAGCTCCAATTGATTTTTCAAATATGCTATTCTCTCTTGTATGAAAGGAATTTACAATGGGGTATGGGCTTCTAGTGCATTTATTTTTTTGATCAGCCAGGAATGATATGTTTGGATCGTTCACACATTACCGGATTATGCCAGTAAAAGACTTTACAACCATTGACCTAAATCATTGAAAATGTATTTTAAAACCCCAAAAAAAATGTATAACAACCTTTCAAAAACTATGCAAGTGTGAATGCCCAAATAGTACGAGCAATTAAAAAACGGAGACAAAATAATTTTAGGAATACTTTGAGGAACCGTTGGTGTAGCATCTCAACATATGTAGGAAATTGAACATAAAAAAAACACCTTCGAACACCGATTTGTAACTAGCAACAATTGGCCTAAATATGTACAACTTATGCAAGCCTATAAATTCCAGCAATAAAGGGAATAATGAAAGGAGCGTAATATCGAAACACTGCGACAACAACTCAGCAAATCAATGGATAGCCTAGTTAGTATCTTGGTTAATTTAAAATTTATACCCAAATCAAAAAATAATGAACAAATTAATAGCCAATAAAAAAGAACAAGAATAAAATTAATTGGGGTATGGATGCATATATATATACCCGCTCTGCGCAAGAAAGGAAATGGCGACCTGGGTTGGCAGATGTCCAAGAAGTTTGTAAGCGTAGCTGATTGCCGCAGTCACAGACATCGCGCTGCATCTCATATGAACTGAATTCCTCAGCGGCTTTGTTACTTGAATTCTTTCGAGAATTAACGCTATTGTAGCTCATTACGAAGATATGAACATACACTCGCTTACAATAATCTAGTTTCAGGAAGAAAAAAAAAACCCGCAAATTATAGGGGAATTTAGGGTTTCTTCTGCATTTGGTTGTACCCACATATAAATGAAGAAGATGGAGAAGTATTGGTAGGAGAGAGAATCCATTAATTAATAAAGGTATTAAAAGGGGCAAATCAGTAATTTACCTCAAAAATCCATAGAAAACAGTGTTATCACCCCAAACAAAACATGATATTGTTAGTGCAAGTATTATTAGTTTCTCCCCCATAACTCCAACCAAAGAATGGATTACTCAATGCGAATCGACAATTTAGTCCCAGTATACCATATCTCATCCATAACTATCTATCCAAGATGTCCTTAGAGTTCCAATAAAGAATTAACTGCATTTTTATTAAGTTTACCCCCTATCAAGCTTAATTATTTAATCGAAAAATAATTAGTGACAAGAGTATTTTAATATTTTATTATGTTATTTTGGTGTAATCTATATGTATTTATTAATATAGGGTTATAGTAATCATAAAAAAATTATAAGGTTATCTTTATATATAAAAGAAAGAAACGCTAGGACAACCTACGAAACTATAATGGCATATTTGTAAAATAATAATATTTTATGCATATATATAGTTTTATTTCCTATTTTGTGGCCATTTTTTTTCTAATTACTTTAACACAAAATCGACTTCTTCGACCCTACACCCGGTGATAAACATCGGGTAGGTCTTCTGTTGCGACGTGGATTTTTTTTGTATTTTATAATATATTCCCCCATTTGAGTTAAAAATGACACGTGGCAGCAGAAAACCCACCCGGTATTTATCACCGGGTGTAGGGTCGAACGAGTGCACAAAATCTGGGCTAGCACAATCCTAATTCACTACCTCTGTATATATTTAATAATAATTATTATTATTATTATCTCCTATTTTTCAGCCTATTTTCTCTAATTCTTCTTTGTTTTATTTATTTATTGATTAATTTCATATCATGACAATTAAGCTTATATAATCTTTTTTTCTGAATGAGTTTGTATTATTAAATATGTATAAATATTAATGTTGCTATTGATATCATAAATAAATTTTATTATAATTGTTATTGTCACCTATTAAACTAAACATTGTTTTCATTTTCGAAATACTATCTCGTGCATCGCATGAGGAACATTCTAGTAACTATAAGAATTGCATTCCATTGTAAGGGGCGATTTGCTATAGATCCTCCTATAAGAGACTTTATGTGTATTAATCCAACTCTTAATTCCCTATTTTTGTAAGTTTATTATTTTTATTTTGTCTAAGATACTCCTAACAAAATATGAAAAAAAAATCCTCAAATAATAGTCCACTTTATACAAGTTTTAATTCCACGGTTTATTCTCAACAAAAAAATCGCTGCAAATCTTCAAATCGTAGCTACGATTTTATATTTCATTCATCTTTCTCCTAAACGCAAAAAGAGAAAACAACAAAAATTGATGTTTGTTTGCTGTTTGTTTATTGTTTGTTTGTTGTTTCGTCGCTTTTTAATTGAAAAAAAACCCCTAGGTTTGTTTGTTTATTGTTCGTCATTGCCTCATAACGCCAAATCGGAGAACCACAATAGCAAACAATATGGTGCAGAAACTTACAAGCCCGGGTGTTGAATATATGTGTTGATCTCTATTTGCAGTGGCTTCGTCTCTACCCTGCCATATCTAAGAATCGTTCACAGTTTGCAGTTTTGAATTTATGTTTGCAATTGCTTCGTCTCTGCCCTGTCATATCTAAGAATCGTTCAAAGTTTGCAGTTTTGGATCTTTGTTTCAAATTGCATTTTCCCTACCCTGCCGTAGCTAAGAATCGTTCGCAGTTTGCAATTTTAAAATCTTTATTTGCAATTGCTTCGTCCGACCTTGCGATAGCTAAGAATTGAATGGCAAGAATTATTCGCAGTTTGCAGTTTTGCAATCTTTGTTTGCAATTGCTTCGTCCCTGCCCTGCTGTTACCCCCTTAGTCGGTGACATCGGCTATGACTCGAGTGTGGCCGAGTCATGACCGAGAAATGGTGCCAAGCAAGGGTTGGCACAAGACAACCACATTATCGGCCAATGAGTGGTCGAGTGTTGGGCAAACATTTGGGGTGTTTGTCCGAGAAAGCAAGGATCGACTTGATTCAAGTGGGAACGGTGATCGAAAGTACTTATGGCTGGCACAGGCGTTGCTCGGCAGCGAATGCGGACAAGCGTGGGCAGTAATCGGCATGTGGCCGAGAACTTGGGCAAACGAACGTTCGAAGGAAATTGACCATGACTTGACAAGTGTGGGCAAGTTGGCACGACCGGTTGGCAAGTCAAGGAAGGCAGCCCGATGTGCGGGCGTGCTAATGACCTTGTGGGCAAAGAACTGGCAAGTAATTGGCAAGGCGAGCAAAATGTGTGAAAAGGCAAGGTAGATGGGCGGCCTAGCAACCGGCTGGGCTGTTTTGGGCTGTTTGGTGCGCGCGCGCGCCCGATCAAGGCATGAAAAACTGCCCCTTTATTACTTGTAATATTTAGCCAAGTGTCAAGCAAGTATGCTGCCAAGTGTCCCTAGGTAGTTTTATGTGAAAACTACCTTCTTCCTTGTATTTATATGGCTGTGAGTGCACAAATCCGACCCATCTAGCATTAGAGAGTTCAGATTGCAATAGTGGGCATTCTGAGTGAGGATTTTGTGTGTGCACCTTAGTCTCAGTTGTATTCTTTGTGTGAAATTAATATAAAGGTCGGGCATTGCCCGTAAACGTGCTTGTGTGTTGTTTTCCGCTGCATAGTCTTGTTCTCGTTTATGTTGGCTTAAAATACTTGTGTTTGTGCGTTTTGTACGAAGAGAATCGAGAGAAAGGCTGACTGATTTGGTGGGCAAATCAGGCCGCACGGGCGAAAAAATCTTGATCAAAGAAACCCCTGTGACACCTGCCATAGCCAAGTGTCTTTCAGAGTTTGTAGTTTTGAAATCTCAGTTTGCAGTTTTGAAATCTCACTAATTGTTTGCTTCGAGTCTAAGAATTGGTTGCAGTGTTCAAATATCTCCGCTTGTTTTTCACTAGTATTTGCTGGTTTGATGGTTTGATTAGAGAGAGGAGATAGACGTGAAAAAAGTAAAGAGAGGGAGAGATTTGTGAAAGAGAGAGATTTGTGGAAGAGAGAGAGAGTGATATGTGAAATTTGTTTTCTCACTTAATTAAATAATTAATTCTAAAAAAATCAAAGATTAATAGTTTTGAGGGTACTTACGTCTGGTAACTTTTATTTTTATTTAATTATTTTTTTGGATCAAAGACTTGCACCTATTTTATCTAACCATTAAGATCTCCACCGATTTCAAGAAATAGAATCTCTAGCCAATTTTCCCCCATTTTAAATTAGGAATTTACTCCTAATTTAGTTCTTGTAAACAAATAAATTAAGAATAAATACATGTTTCAGCATTCTACGATGATCCTCTTTTTTTTTCTCTTTAAATTTGTGTTTAAAATTTACTAAGCTTGTTTAGATGGATTCATTTGATTGTAATTTTTTATTTTTAACTCCCTATAAAGTCATTTGAAATTATAATTATCCCCTAAATTATGTCAACAAATCGAAATATTTCAATTTAAATTATTTTGAAGAGAAATAAGAAATCACAATCACAAGGGAACGCATAAGCATATAGGACCTCGTACGGTGCCAGTTATTCTAAAATCAAATAAATTTTAGAGCATTTAAATTAAAATATTATGAAGGTAGATGAAAATGTGTACAAATCAAAATGCCAGTAACCATGAACACATGGCAGAGTGTTTTCTAGTAATAATTTACATAACAAGTCACTAAAGATACATATTTTCACTTGATTTGTACTAAACAAACAACAATCGAGATTTTTTTTTTAAGTTCCATCACTACTAATACACAAACACGACACGTTACCTCAGCAGAATTAAGTGTGTTTTCACGAGGGTACGTTGAAGTGGAAAAGCCAGGAAATGACGAATGCAAAAACCATACAAGCTAACAAAAAATTGAGAAACCGATGACCTTTCCAGAAGTTTCTAGACTCCGACAGCCGTGCGGTTGTAATAGCAGCATCGATTGTTTCTTCGTTCCACTGTTCAATCATCTGCGCCTCGTTTACCCCGGTTACATTTTGTGCTATTGATCCGCATATCTCACATGTTCTGCAAATCCAAACATACACCAAAAAAAAACATTTGCATTAAATAATAGCGAACGAAAGACAAATTGAAAGCTAAAATCACAATGACCTAATCAAACACTAATTGGACTACGAGAAGCTTCGGAGAGGTTTCTTGAATAAAATCGGCTTTTTTCTTGATCCTTTTATCGCCCACAACTAATAAAGATCGACTAAAAAAGATTAATTTCTTCACCGTTGTTTTCCCTGTTCCTTATAAGTTATATGTCTCGTATCGTTGATTAATTCCTATCGAAGTTCTACAATATAATTAATTAAATAAGACTAGACACTAAATCTAATGATTAAGGCCCTGTTTAGTTGGTAAGATAAGATTAAATAATCTAATGAAACCCAATTATTTTATTGGAGCTTGAAACGTCCAAAAAAAAACTCATTAGAAGGCAAGATAAGCCATGATTATATAATTTTGGCGGGTCGACCCGGCAATTTATTGAGGATACCAAACATCAAATTAAGTCCAACTATTTAGGTAATCATGGCTTATCTTGGCAACCAAACGGGGCCTAAATATATTGCTTCCATTCATTTAATGGTAGCCGTAGATATATTGTGTATGTATGTACGTATAGTCGCACTAAAAGATAACAGGAAAAAAGAAAAAAAGTTGTGATAAGACGATCATGCGCAAGATTTTGATTCCTCAAATGTCGGTTTGGCAAAAAATTAGGTCACGTGTTGACGTTAACGAAACTAGAAACAAGAGTTGTGGTGAATCCCACTAAACAAACACATGATAAATGTAAGTCGAAAGCACTAGTTGCTACAAGAATTGCACATAGAATGAAAAGCAACTTAGCAAAATCAAGTAATAATAGTCATCCCCACAAAATCAAGTTGTGATAAGACGATCATGCGCAAGATTTTGATTCCTCAAATGTCGGTTTGGCAAAAAATTAGGTCACGTGTTGACGTTTACGAAACTAGAAACAAGAGTTGTGGTGAATCCCACTAAACAAACACATGATAAATGTAAGTCGAAAGCACTAGTTGCTACAAGAATTGCACATAGAATGAAAAGCAACTTAGCAAAATCAAGTAATAATAGTCATCCCCACAAATACTAAATAAAGTAGATGCTCACTAAATTAAAAAGGAAAAGGAAAAGGTAAAGAATCATCGGCCACAAAAAAGCAGAATTTTGCCTAGTGCTTTCATCTTTTCCTCTCTTGTCATATATTCTTTTCATTTCATACTTCTTTTTCTACTATTGCCACATCCAAATAGTCTTTAGAACAGTATTTTGAAATCCGAACCAGATCGTCTGGTTAAACCGCGAACCGTTGTCTTGGCCGGTCTGGTTTGACCAATTCAACCATAATATCAGAACCCGAGTGAAAATTGTTTTTTTTTGGTCCAAAATTGTCTTTTTTTTTACAAAAATAAACAAATAAAATGGCCGAAACGACGTCTTTTTACTGCCCAATTGAAAAAAAAAATTAAATCACTTTTTTTTTTTTTAATTTGCAAGACATGTTATCTTTTATTATCATTTCTATAATATTTGAAATGATTCAACGTGATGTGTGTGTTGATATGTTGTGCGTGCAAAAGAAAAATAAGTATAATTTACATTTTAATTGAAAATGAGTAACGAGTAATGAGTTGGACCCCGGTTGAACTGGTCCAACCGTGACCTTGTCCGGATCAATGTCCGGACCATATTTCAAAATATTGTTTTAGATCCCACCCTAAAAGCTACAGCTGTTGTTTCAAAAGATGAGTTTCATTACTATCAATTTATCCCACTTCAAAAAGCTAATCATAAACATCAAAAATCAAAAAGAAAAATTTAAAAAAAAAAAAAAAAAGGAAGAAGAAGAAGAAGAAAACTTACTTATTGCCCTTAATCTTGAACCAAGATTCAGCACATTGTGAGTGGGCAGCAGCCAAATCGTTTTTACAAGAACAACCAAGTTCAATGGGGGTCCCACTTCCAGATTCTTGATTAGTTGCATCCATGCTCAGATGGCAAATCCTACAATCTCTTTTCAAATTCAAATGCAACTTCTTTTCGTCGTGGGTCCCACTTTCCAGATCCACCATCTCTACCGAACACTCCGACACATTAGAATCCCTCTTCTTATCCACCACCACCACCGCCGCCGCCGCCATGTCTTTCCTTTCCGGGACCCGAACGATCTCATTTGCATCGGAGGTAGGTGGTCCGGCGGCAGCAACTTGGGTGCAGCAGCCATCTCCGCCGCCGCCGCCATTCCGAAGGGTATCAGAAGTATCATCATTAGCTGATTCTAAATCAAAACCGTGGGATTTCAGTACAGTAGTTGTAGACATTTTTCAAATGAACCCAAATCAAGAATCCTCATGTACAGGAAAAATATAGCACTGATATATCATCAAATAATACCCCTACCTACCACAGGTCCAACCAGGACTCTCTCTCTCTCTCTCTCTCTAGTTTGTGATTTGATGGGAGAGAGAATAGAAGAAGGGGAAAACAGAGAGGCAGGCAGCAAGTGAAACGGAATCGTCGGTGAGGGGAGGAAACCAATGGCCAATAGGCAATAGAGGCTGTAGAGCTTGTTTTGCAAGTGAGATTTTTGTTGCTAAATGTTTTAGCGACGGAATTACTGTCAATTATTATTATTCACGAAAAAGATGTGAAGTTGAAGCATGTGACTGCTGGGATTTGTCGGCTAATAAATGAAAAAAGAAACTTCAGTTGGAGCGCAATAATAATAATAATACGAATAGATTAGAGTAGAGGAGTACTAATCGTTTTACTAACTTTTAAGGTTAACAACAAGACAACCAACTCCGACTATCGCTTTAGGTCAACTATCACTTCATCAACTAATAAAAAAAAGGTATCCATTATTTTCCCTATTTTTAGTTGAATACCTGTTAGTACAGTTAAACCTCTATAAACTAATAGAGATGATGCTAGTAAAATTTTACTAAATTAGCGAAATATTAAATTATCGAAGTAATAGTTTAGATGGTTTTCACCTAATCGGGACCATAAAAAACTATTATTTAAGCGATGTTATTAATTTATCAAGGTTTGACTGTATAATTTATTCTTTTTTTAGGGAAACAATTAATTCTATTATTGTTGTGTGCAATGACTCTTTTATCCCACTTTATGTTTGATAGAATCCCTGTTTTTTTCTAGGTTGTTTCACTTACTGAACGACCGTCTCTTTATCTCTCTCAGATTTCTCTCCCTCTCTTCAATTTTTAAAAGATACAAAATCTCTATCATTCTCAATGTTTTCGTGAAATATATTGAAGAACTTTTGTATGAGCACATTAGAAGGATGAACTTTTGGTCTGAGGGCGAATTATAATATTAGAAAATATTTTGGCGGTTCTTTAATCCAATTAACTTAGAAAATTAAGGATACAATTTTAAGTAAAAATGAGGTGTATTATTTTCTTAGATTGTTGACGATTTTTAGCGTTCATTTAAATTCGATTTTTTTTTTTGTCTGTTTTAGTGTTCAATTTTAGGGATTTTGAGTGTTCTTTTTTTGTTTGTTTTTTCGGAGGAGGGAATTTGCGATTATTATATGAAAAGTTTTGTTTTTAATTTGCAATTGTTTCAAATTATAGTTTTATTTCAATTTTAGGAAAAAAAATTCAAAATTTTAGGAGGTTTTATGTTTTAAAATTCATCATCTCCAAGTATTCATTTTTATTGATTTGATTTTTTCAGTTTTTTTTTTATGCCTGAGATAAAAGAAAAAATGATTGAAAAGAGTGAAGAGTAATTGAACACAGTGAAAAATGGGCAAAAAAGAGTGAAAAAAAACTAATAAAAATGGTCAAAATTAAACAACCTATATATAGAGATTTTTAGAATATTTTCATTAAAAAAAAAAAAAGCCAACATCTCTTTGCCGACTAAAAAAAATGACAGCAGATGGATGTTTGATGTCTACTATACATATAAGGAAAATATACATTATATATGGATAAATCATAAAACATAAAATTCTAATTACATGTTAAAAAATTGGTGTGCAAATTATGTTTGGGGCTAAATACACTATGCACCCCTGGGGTTCTTTTGGTTGGATATATTAGGGTGGATGGGACTATTTGTCCCGATTAATTCATTGTTTGGTTGTTGTGTTAGACCTCCTCTTGATTACTGGCCCTACAGATTTTATCAGTTAATTAGCTGACTATTTGTCAAGCCAATTTCGGCTTGACAAGCTATCATCAATTAACCCATCATCTGGCCATGTACGTAAATACAATAAAGCCCTTATAAAAATAAATTAATTACCAAACTATTACACATAAATAGTTATCTTCTTCACAAAATCTATATCGCCGAGCCCTAATCATCTGCAGGTAAGCAGCGTTGGTTTCTCCATCTTATTAAACATGTCTAATCATCTTTGTTTCATCTTTGTTTCTGGTAGAACAAGTGACGGTTAACCAATAAAGATGCAAGTTCACGCATCGATACTGCATATAATATAGGTTATTTTTATGCTACACCCGGTGAAGGTTACACTGGGTGATTTTTTACCGTTGATCTACACATACCAATGTTGGTGTGTGTGTTTGTATGTATATGAATGGTAAAGATCTACCCGGTGTATTTACCCGGTGTAGCATAGTATAAGCCCTGCATATAAAAAGAAGAGAAATAAAATATTTCTTGGAGAATCTTAAGCGTCGGGAGAGAGAAACAGAGGTAAGCATCGGCAGAGAGAAACAGAGGGACTGGGAAATTTCGTAACGAAGGACGCTGAAATAAATCTTCTTATAGTAGAAGAACATCGTGTTTGGCTGTGGGAAAACGAAAAGAGGCGTAAAATCGAAAATTGGAGACTACAGTGCACTGTTTTTTTTTTTTTTTTTTTTCAATTTCACCTGTTTGACTTTCAAATTGTTATATGATTTGCAATTTGTACCCGTCAATCAGTTTAAGCCGGCCTTCGCCTCATCGCCGCCGCAATCCTTCGTCACAACGACGTTAATTGGGCTCAAAGCTTCACCTTCCATTAGATCAAGGCATACTGACTTATTTCAAGGAACATGGTCATCTTACCCCAACTTGTTTGTTCCTTGGATGAACAAAGTATATGGTGCTGTTATTCATGGAAAAAAGGGGCCAAGAGGCATAACGATTAAGAAAACGGGCCAGTCGCTAGTTTTTTGTCTCTATGAAGAGCCCGTGACACATGGGCAATGCAACATCGTTGTTGAGAGGTTGGCTGATTATCTCATCGATCAAGTTCTTTAAGGAATTATTACTTTTTTTATCGAGACTGAGTACTAGATTTTTCTTTCACATTTTTTAATGTGCCTTTGATGCTTGTGTGTGTTCTTTTTTGAGCAGTCATGGCTATTTTGACACAGTTCAAATTTTAATGTATTCCTGGTTCTCTGTTTTCAGGCAAACAAATGATATATGACATTGATTTGGGAGGCTATGAGTATATATACATATGCACCCTCTTTTTATAAAGGCACCATCCACCTCTTAATAAGTCCTCGTTAAAAGAATAATACCATCTCACAGTAGAAATAGAAGAGATAAAAGGAAAAAAATGGCATAAGAGATTTAATAAATCCAACAGTAAAATTAAATCATAAGTTAGTGTGAGTTTGATAAAGGCCTGAACATTTGTTGCACTTTATCTATTGTTCATTGTTTTAGAGGCCAAAAATATATGACTTTATAGTTTTGAAGCATTGATTCCTCATAAAGAAAGGAGTTGGAATATAAAGCTGTCCACATTTTTTCCAGAAAAAAATAAAAAAAATTGCATGTCTTTTGAATTTCTCACCATATTCATTTAAATTGGGCATTTCAGACATTTTACAATTAATCCCATGTTATAACTCAAAATCAACCAAACAAAACAGAAGATTGTTTATCATTTGCTAGATAATCCCACGAACCAAATGCCATGATTACTAATGAAATTACTAAAACGTAATGACATTTACCCCTCGATATAGCATTTGTAACACTTACCCCTCGATATCAAATATTTTATATTTTAAAATAAAACGTAATAACATAACTATCTAATAATTATTGGATCATAAAAATTAAAAAGTAACTAAATTAAATTACTGGGAAAAAATAAAAAAGTAATATATATTGTATAATGAATGAAAATATATTTTAAGAAATTAATGAACTAAAATAAATTTAAATACTTAAGATGACTATTATTTATGTATTGATTTCTTAAAATTTATCGATATGAATATATTTGATTAATTGATCCAATAACACGTAGATGTTATTTATTAAATATGTACCCAACAATACAAGATAATATTTTTAAAGTTTAAAATATTGCATTTTTCAACAGATATTTTTTTAGTTGTATAATTTATTTAAAATATTGCATTTTTCAACAAATATTTTTTAATTGTATAATTTAATTATTCTTTTAGTTATAATTTTAAATAAAAAAAGAAAATTTTAAGGTATTAGGATTTAAAATACAACTTGAATTGAGCTTGAGGGTGTAAGTGTTACAAATGATACTTTAGAGAGGTAAATGTTACAAATGGTATAAATTAACTGTATTTAACCTTTATGTTTGTAAGCACTTGCAAAATTTGGTGGTTAGTTGTTGGAATAGGGCCGATAGTCTTAATCACGGACCAAGCTAAATGGGCCACATGTATCCATCCAATATTTAGGCTTAGTTCAGTGAAACTCGCTCCATATTCGAAATTTGAATCTTTCTCCAGAATTGCATTTCTTTCTTCTTTGTTTGTCAGGCAGAACACCTGTTTGAGGAAATGCCTCACCCAAAACCGATAAACAATGAAGAACAAAACCCAACGAATACTCCACGAAGATCCCCCAGATTTCTTCACATAAACCAAACAGCCGCAGAAAATCGAGCAACCCCTAATCCGTCAACAAGGAAAATCCGTACTCCTGTTTCATTTTCTGCACCTACAGGCTCCGCCATTACCACAACCCAGAAGAGAGGGGTGAAAGATACCAAGTCCAGAAGTTCGACAAAATCTAGCAAAGGGTCTGCAAAATTGGACCCCAATTTGAGTAGGCTGGATTCACCTACGACCGAGACGGAGAAGAGGGTGACAAGGAGTTCGATTCGTAGAAGCAGGTTCGCGAGCAGTTTGAAAAACGACTGCAATGAAATTTCAAGAAAGACGGATAAAAAAGTAGTTGAATCGAAGGATTCGAACAAATCAAGCAATGGTTGTAGAAGGTCTGCAAGATTGCACGGTGGAGCCAATGTGAGTAAAAAAAATGTAGAAGTTTTGGATTATCGGAAGCAAAATGTTGTAGAGAAGATGGTCACGAGGAGTTCGGTTTGTGGAAATAGGTTGGTATATATTGACCTCTGTGACTCCAGTTCCGATGAGGATTCGGGCAAGACTGTAAGACTTTTGTCGAAAAAGGAGAAGCCCAAAATTGGTGCTGATAGTTGTTCGGAAAACGTTGAGAAGAGGGTTACTCGTAGCTCTAATCGAACAAATACGATCAAGTCGGTTGAGAAATTGCCTAAAGGGAATGGTGAGTTATCTAAAATATGTACGAGTAAAAAAGTTGTTAAAGATTGTGGTGTTGAGATGGGAAGTGGAGACAAAAATCGTAAAGAGAACAAGAATATCGGTGACAAGAGAAAGAGATGTGAAGTGGAAGAGTGTAAAGGATGGAGCGAGGAGCAAGAATTGGCTCTGCGAAAAGCTTACTTCACAGTAAAGCCCACACCTCGATTTTGGAAAGAAGTTGCTCGAATGGTAATTAACGTGCCCTTTGTTGCTTGTGTTGTTCTCTACTATTTTGTTGTTGTTTTGCTTTTCCTTTCTTGTGAAAGAACTCATCTTGGGTCCCGTCATGCATAATTGCCCCAAAAATTTCGATATTGCAATCGAAGAAGGACTTGAAATGAAATCTCTCCTCCAAAATTTTAGTTGATAGGAGCATATGTACGAGGGCGAAAACTACGTCTAGTAGGGTATTGATACAATGTATGTAAAATATTACCTTTTAGATCCTCAGATTTATGGAGTTTAGTTGTCATACTGCAGATTGCTATGAGTTAGGTTTTGATACCGTAAGTGTCAAAAGGAGGATGTTAGTTATTAGCTTCTTAAGTTACAAAGATGCACTCGTGGTTTTGATTCGATAGTAAGAGTCGTATAGAAAGATCGATAAACTTCGTTACAACAAAACGAGTTTTAGATTCTAAGAGACGATTCTGTAACTATTGTCTTTACCGAGTAGAAAGTTGAAGATGAAAAGTGATCTGGCATAGACCATAGGGTAAGTAGTGTTTTCAGTGATCGGATCTTGGGCTAACACGGCACGTGACGAAAAAATGGTTCGAGATATGCCAGAATCTGGTAACGGTATAAAGGCTGATCGCCACCTCAGCGTATCTTGGCTGGTCTTATCTCAATGCAAGATTTAGGGTCTTGATATATTAACCTGCATTTGAATCTGAATCCTGATGGACGAACTAGTTACTCCAGTGAAGAGATTTAAATATTACAAATAACCCCCTTTCTGTTCTAATACTGTATATGGCATCTCCGTTTAGATGAGGGAGGAAATTAAACAAATGCGATTAAAAAGATAAATCAGAGAGAATGTGTAAGAGATAAGTTCGGATAGTCCCACTTCTTTCGTAGCGTTGAGGGCAGCCTTCATTATCTCTAATCATAAGTTTCTTTCTCAAAGAAATTATGGATATACTGATAATCTCCTACTTATTTGTGACCTCGTTTTTATCGGAAGCAAAATGTCGAAAAAATAGAGGCTTGTATGTCTAAAACATTGTCTTCTATTGGTTAGAATGAGTTTTCTGTGCGCTCCTTATTGATATACATAATTACATATATACATATACATATATTTGTACCTTCATACATAGATTTTGCTGTAATGCTACATTAGCTTTTTTTCCATTTTATGTGAAATTTCTACAACTTTGTTGAGCAAGAATCAATCTCCATAGTTAATAAATCGACATTGCAATATATGTGCAGGTTCCTGGAAAATCTGCAAACGAATGTTTCGACAGAATCCATTTAGATCACTTAACCCCAATTCAACCCAAAAAGCGTTCACGCCCCAACAAGAAGAAGGAACAGTCACCCCTCGCATTTTCTGCGAGCAAATTGCTTAGTCCAGCTAAAATCAATATTAAAAAGCTCCGATCCAGGAAAAGAACATTTCTTGCTCAGAAAACTGTCAGACAAATACTTCAGAAGCAGCAAAACGAAGATCAAGATTACGAAGCAGACTTGTTCGACATTCTTGAATCGACAACAGTTGAACCGTCTCTCGATTTTATTCAAGAGGGCACTTCGTCATTTGCCTCGCCTACACCTAACCAAGGATCGAAACACCAATATTCGAGATTAAATAGCTCGAAGAAAGCAGCCGCTGCTTTTGTGAGCCCACCGGTACTTAAGCAGATCAAGAACAAGGCCCTGCATGAGAAATACATAGACCAACTGCACTGCAGGGAAGCCAAGCGAAAGGCGGAATCTTTACGGGTTGCTAAATGGGTCGAGGGCAAAAACGACAAAAGTAAGAGCCGTTTGGAAATGAATTTTTCAGTTAAAGCTGCGAAAGATGCTCTGGTTCTTGATGCACAAGATGCTATCAGTCAGTTACGGAGAATTCAGTCATGTACGAATGATGACACAGATGACGATGATAATGCCAGTTATGGTGACGAGGATGAGGATGAATTTTGATGATTTTTCTTTCGGCTGTAATAAAATTGTGAGTATTCCTTAACTGTATTGATTTACGCGGCAGCAAAATTATGAATGTCGTTCACAATAGTCTTCTCTTTCTCTCTCTAAAAACCGCCAAATCCACCCAAACCCCAAAAGCCCCAAAATTCACAAAAACCCTCAACCTTTCTCACAAATCTTTCCAAATCCGAAAATCTCGTCAATTTGAAAGGTAATTAATCAAAAGTGGTTATATATATTGAATTTGTGGTTAATCATGAAAATCCCCAGAAAATCTAGGGATGGCAATATTACCCGACCCGGCGGGTACCCGCCCCGCCCCGCCCCGTTTTCGACGGGTAATACCAACCCCGTTAAGGATTGGGGCGGGTAAGGGTTTTACAATTTATACCCGCAACGGGTAAGGGGCGGGTACGGGTGTAGTAAAATTTCCCCCGTACCCGACCGTACCCGCCCCCGTTTACCACCCATATTTTTTATTTACGTATAATACCCTTATATGTATATTTAATATCATGTATATTATATTTTATAAAATGATTGTTGATTTGCATTTATATTTTAATCGTATTTAGTAATTAACAAGTATATATATTTGCATTGGAAAAAACAAGGCTATTTTTTTTAAGGAACATAACTAGAATTGATTTTTATATTCAAAGTAAGAAGGAAAAGCTAAAATGGAAGAGAGAAAAAAACGGGTCGTCAAACGGGGCGGGTACCGCTGGTGCAAAATGGGGCGGGGGCGGGTTCTACAATTCTAACCCGCAAGGGGTATGGGGCGGGTGAGGGTTGCTTGATTTTCCAAACGGGGCGGGTGCGGGGATTGCGATACCCGCCCCGTACCCGCCCCATGGCCATCCCTAAGAAAATCGCGATTTGGGACTGTTTTTAGTGTTGGGTTTTCGAATTTTCCACGCCCAAAATGGGTGTGTGAAAGCAGTTTCCACGCCTAAACCAGGCGTGGAAACTGCTTTCACACGCCCATTTTCGGCGTGGAAAATTAGTTCGGACGTTCGGTCCAGACACCGGTCAGGGGTCTGCACGCCTAGACTGGTCGTTCGGTTCAATTTTTTTTTGCATAGTATAAACGAAATGAATGATTATATTTAAATATGTATTAGTTAACAAACTCGCTGTAGCCTAGTTGGTCAGGGGACTCGTCTATTACACAATAGACCCGTGTTTGAGTCTTGGTAGCATGGCGTATGTATGTATTTTTTGCCTAGTGTAATGAAATGAATAATTATAATTAAATAAGTTTTAGATATCAAAATTGCTGAAGCCTAGATGGTTAGGCAAGTTGGTACTTGCACAATAAGAACCCGTGTTCGAGTCCTTTACTTTATTGGGTTCCGTATCTCGATCGCTACAATAACATGGGTTTTGGAACGATTTTTAATATAAAAGTTATTAAAAATAAAATTGTAGAGAGAAAGAAATAGGTAGATAGTGGATTTTTTAAACCCGCATTCGTAATTTTGCTACCGCGAATATCACCTCCCATTCCTTAAACATGTGCTGGAATTGTCTATATACAGAACCTGTATTTTATTGTAACAGGTTGAAGGAATCAATAAGGTGTGGTGTTCCTTTCTCGAGGAAAAAGAAGCGGCAATTTTCTTCGATGCTGATTTGTTCGTGAGTTAGGAATATTTCTTTAGGGGTTTCAAAATTCTTTAGGGATTTCAAATTTACAATATAATAACAAAACCTATCGAACTCGATTGGATAATTTAAGTCTCCATTTCGACGGAAAATTTCGAGGAATAGATTTCAAATTCATAACATCAAATCCCTTGTACTTGTTTGGACAGAGAGATTCATAACATGAAATCCCTTGTACTTGTTTGGACAGAAATATTTGATCTTTATAATTGAGCGGTTTATTTTATGCTACACCCGATGAAATACAGTTGGTAGATCGCTATCGTTTATTCACACACAAAACAACAAACACCAATATGGGCATGTGAAGATGGACGATAATTAATTTGTTTCGTTTCTTTGGAGCTTATTTTGAACGGAACTTATATAATCACCAACAAAAATCATGTTCATATGTTCAACGGAGACAAAAGTTTATTAGTAAAATTAGCAGCAAAGTTTTTACGCTAATCGAATTTTTTACGTAGGTAAACCCGACAGCATTTTAGCGCATATTTCTCTAGATCATCATCGGATCCATTGATGAATCCCTATCCTTGCATTGTAGTATCTGATCTTGTCACAAGATATCATAAAATGTCAAATATTCAAAAATGCAAATTTAGATGTCAAATTATTCAATTTTTTTTTTTTTTTTGGTATGGTTTGATTAACAAGCCATATAAAAAATTAATGGCAAACAATTAATTTAAGATTAAAAAAAACCTACCCTATGAAAAGCTTAGTTAAATAAGTAAGAGTGACAAACGAGAACAAGAATTATTAACCCTTTATTCAACTCAATATTATGATCCAAAATTATTAAAACCCCATTTGGATGAAATAATTTGAGTTTGAAGCAAGAATTTTAAATCACACTAATTGTGAAACTCAAAATAAATATAGGTCCAAATAGATATTTATTAATGTGATTTTTTTTTACTTGAAAATCCATAATATTAAATGAATAATAGTGTTAAAAATATGAAAACAGAGCCGGTCGAGGGACACCACCAATTTTCAGGCCCACTTCTCAAGGTGTTTCTATCACGTGCTAATTCATAAGATATGATTGACAATAACATCGGAATTATATCAAAATTATCGAACGACTCTATTTTGGAACAATAGTTTTAATTTCAATTTGATATTTTGTATTCCTTATACTTTCTATCTTTCTTTGGAACGAATTTCAAAACCATATTATCTGGGGATATTTTAATGAAAAAATATTTTTTTAATTATAAAATATAATTTATTTTTTTTACCATTTTGTGAGGTTATTTTGGACCATTATTTTGAAATTTAAAAAAAAAATCCTGCATAAAACAATATAAATTTTCTTAATTTTATATTAGATAGAGGTTTTATGATGATCATATTATATACTATAAAAAAGGGCCTAGTGGCTTTAAGAGATGGAGAAAGAAAAGTAAATTTCTAAAGGTGATATATTCTCTATATTATTTACATATATGCTGAGCTCTTGTTATTTGTTGGGTGTAAGCGCTTACTTCACTTGAATATGTGCAGTTTCGATAAAGTTACAACAAATAGATAGGTTGTACTGTTGTATTCGTTCGAGAAGGGGTCGTGAAATTCGTCTCAAGAGAACAACCTAGTCTGAATCTCACCTTGCCTATCTTCATTATATTGTAAAGGCTGCAGCTATATGCAATACTAATTCCACTTGTGCAAGACCAAATTAAAGAAAGATTCCAAAAGATTCCATTTTATTAAGATGAAATGACAAATATACCCATAAATTAAATTGTCTTTTGTTTGCTCATGCAAGACCAAATAACAAATAAAAAAAATATGAAACAACTAAATTTCGACATTAAGGTGTTGAATATGTGTCCTTAAATTCGACACCTTAATGTCGAAATTTAGTATATTTGGACTAATTTGCTAACAGTTAAATTTCGACACTAAGGTGTCGATTTTTGTACTCCAAAATCGACATCTCAATGTCGATTTTTACCTATAAAATTCGACATGTACATGTCGACTGTGTCTGCGTGGAATTTTTATTTAAAAAAATATGAAACAACTAAATTTCGACATTAAGGTGTCGAATATATGTCCATAAATTCGACACCTCAATGTCGAAATTTAGTATATTTGGACTACTTTGCTAACAATTAAATTTCGACACTAAGGTGTCGATTTCGTTCTAAAAAATCGACATCCCAATGTCGATTTTTGCCTATAAAATTCGACATGTACATGTCGACTGCGTCTGCACGAGATTTTTTTTGGGAAAACGATATTCTAACTAAAAAAACACATAAATACATATTTTCTTGGGTTTTTCCACCGTAGATTCTTCTATTTTGATGTCTTCTGACTCCATACTTACCGTCTTTGTAAGATTTGTTGAGTTTTGATGATTTTGAATGTTTAGGTTTTGTGGGTTTATAGATGAGGAAGGAGAAAGGTTTTGATGGAGAAGATGAGAGTTGGTCTTGTGGTTTTGTGATAGTTTTTTTTTTTTTTTTTTTTTTTGAGTTTTTGGTATTGCACATTTGGAATTTTCTATTTTTTCAACAGGTAAGGGTATTATAGTATTTATACATTAAAAAATTTAATTTGGTCTTGCACAAGTGGAATTAGTCTTGCATATAGCCGCAGCCTATTGTAAATTTTATTGCAGGTGATTAAACGTCAACTATAAAAGGAGAGACCAAATGGAGTCCGAGCCGCATTCCATTTTTTCGTGATCGATCGTCAAAGTGCAGCCGTAATTTCAACATATTAAAATTTGTTCTTCAAATCAATTTTAATTTACGAAAATATTTCCACATTTCTAATTTTCTTTTGGAAAATTACAATTATAATTATATTTTTATATTTAGTATATTATAGGTGATTGAAAAATAAAAACACCAAATCAAACAAAAATTGTGTTGAATATTAGAAAAATAAAAAATGTTTATTGAAAAAAAGTCTAATACCGAGCAAAAAGTTTTTCATAAACAAATAAACAAAGGGTCAACGCCGTTGATCCGCAGTCAACGGTGGAGTAATTGTTTTAGTTTCTTTCCTTTCAAAAAAGAAAAAAAAATATATTAACGAGGAAAAAAGGTTTGTTCAAAAGTTAGTTAATTTGTAAGTTGAGTAAAATTAAGAAAATATTATGGGAGGTGATATTCGCGGTACCACTTTTACGAATATGGGTTTGTAATAATTCACTCTCTATCTCGCTTTTTCTCTCTAGAAAAAAATTATCTCAAGTTTTTAAATTAGAATTCTTCCCGAAACCAATCTTATTGTAGTGATTTACAAAAGAAAATGAGTGCATCGGTTGAGGATCGAGATACACAATCCAATGAGGTAAAATTTGTTACTTTTTTTTTTTCTATAAATCAGGAAAACGTGGCTCACGACCAAAATGGGCGCATAAAATTGATTTGCACGCCCAAACTGG